AAACTTTGACGAATAACTAATTGATTTCCTTTCTTTCAGTTATTCTTTTCCCCCTTCCTAGCCTATTAATAACAAAACGGATTTTTCCAATGTATAAAATAAAAATTCCAATGGCTTTGGCTACTATAACCTTCCCGACCACGATTTTTTCTAGGCATTTCACCTAGAAATAATCAATTGTATTCTCCTAGGTATCAAAAATATAGTAAATAAATAAAGTAGTAAATATAAATGGATAAAGAAATAGTGGGTTCCATCGTTTCTATGGTTACTTCTTAAACGGTGAGGCCTTCTCTATACACCGGAGCCCCTTACTTGATTTAATCAATGTTATTGGTAACTTGTACAGTTCACACTCTTTGGCTCTACCCATGAATTATCCAGTACTAGGTCTTTCACAATGAGATCTACCTATACAGTAACGGTATTTAATTATAAAAGTTAGCGGGGTAGCTGACCCTGTGAGTCCGTTCTTGCAAGAGTGGGAACCTAATCTTTCTGTTTTTAAAATTTTAAATAGGATTTTCCCCGCTTAATGAATAACCATTTGTTACCAATGGGGAATTGCTTTTCATTTAAAATAGAGGTGATTGGATTTGCACCAACGGAAACCATAAATTTCATACACAATAGAGGGATACGATAGATTTTTTATTTTTAGATAGCGAATGGAGTTCTTCCAGTCTATCCTATTCATCGGTACTGATCGTTGTTACTGGAAAATTGGTTTTCTTTCCTTTGTCCCAGCCCATGATCTGAACGAGTCGCACATACACCCTAGTACATGTTCCTCGACGCTGAGGGCATCCCCGAAGAGCGGGGGATTTTGTGACATTTCTGATTGGCTGTCTTGTATTTCTAATAAGTTGTTTAATGGTTGGCATGTTGAATCATATACATAATGGGCTGGTTTAGATCGATCCTAACCGGATGATTATGAATTACTTCTTTTGAATAGAATATTAAACCCGGCAAGAAAATCAAATCTTAAATCGTGGATTTGTGTGAAATCTGTGCTATTTTCATTCAACCGCTACAAGATCAACGATTCCATAAGCTTGGGCTTCTGTTGCTGACATAAAAACATCCCTCTCCATGTCTTCAGATACAACCCATAAGGGTTTGCCCGTTCTTTGTACATAAACCCTTGTGAGGGTTTCGCGCAGTTTCAGCAGTTCTTCTGCTTCCAGGATAAATTCTCCCGTTTGTGCCTCATAATAAGCACTCGCAGGTTGATGGATCATTACCCTGATGATATAACATAATAAAAGGTTCTTCTATCTCGCAGAGAAAAGAAAGAAAGATAAAGAATAACAAGAAAAAAAGAAGAAGATAGAATTGAACAACTGTACGGGCATCTTTTGCGCATTGCATACGGCTTTACAATATAGAATTGACCCTTACCCTCCATCGAAAAAAGATAAAAAAATCGGATCTATCAGATCTAGATCGGTAAATGATCAAATTACCACCCTTTTTTTCGGAGAAGTTAAAAAATACTATGATGGTTCCGTTGCTTTATATATTTATTATTATTATTTTGTCTTTGATTTGTCTGTGATTTGTCTGTGATTCAGCAATCCCAAAGTTTCTTTTTGATCTGATCAAATAAAATAAGGAAAAAAGACTCTTCTTTTTTTGATTTTCGCACTCTTTCATAACATAAGTATTGTTAAGAGCCTTCCGGTGTGAAAACAAAAAAGTTTGTGACGCTGAACTGGACTCCCGATAGATAAGATAAAATCAGAAATACTCTTTATCTCATACTACTCTCTCGATACATAATCTAATGTTTTGAAAAAATAATAGAAAAATTTTCTCATATCAATTCGAAGTGCCATGCTATTATTACTTAATATTCAATTTTCATATGGCGAAGGCATAGTCTTCTTTTTTCTCTCAAATAAAAACAAACCTCATTGGCGCCAAGCGTGAGGGAATGCTAGACGTTTGGTAATTTCTCCCCCGACCAGGATAAAAGATCCCATTGAAGCAGCCATTCCCATGCATATTGTATGTACATCTGGTTGCACAAATTGCATAGTATCAAAAATAGCTATTCCGGGTATTACCCATCCGCCAGGAGAGTTTATAAACAAATACAGATCTTTGGTATCATCCTCGATACTGAGATATACCATAAGACCAATAAGTTGATTCGAGATCTCGCTATCAACCTCTTGGCCTAAAAAAAGTAATCTTTCTCGATAAAGTCGGTTGAGTAGGGCAAAAGTGTATCCCTTAGGAACCGTACATGCACCTTTTGACGCATACGGTTCAAAAAAATTGCGAAAAAAACGAATCAATGTGTAGATTCCGGTCCTTTTTCTTTTTTCATAGCGGGTTCTTTTTCACTTCTCCCGAAAGGGCTTCTTTTTCTTTTATTTTTCGATAAAGATGGGTTTTTGTTCCTTTCCTTATAATATAAAAAAGAATTCACTAAACTTACCGAATTAACTTCTCATTGATGTATTATTTCATCGAAATCCAATCCAAATCACGATGTCATTTTCTTGTTCCTGAATGGGCCTCTTCAATCTTTTTAGGTTTATGAGCTACTTCGGGTAAAGATCCGCCCGATTTCTATTTGTACATACAGGACAAATGTTCCCACTACCACTTCTTTTTGCTATGACTCCCCTTTTTTTTCAATTCATTTCATGCTTTCCGCCAAACATTTTATGTATTTCTCTATATATCATTTCTCGATTGATTAAGAGTTTGAGATCACTTCTCTTTCTAAATAGGAATCCTTTATGATCCAAGTAGTAATCATAGATATATTACCAATTGGGTTTTTTCTAAACGGAGCCTGGATATTTCATTTTATTGGTCCAACCAATACAACCATAAATTATTCTAATTGATAATAGTAATCTGAATCCCTCAAAAATACACTTCACGCTCCAACTTTTTGATGATTCAATTAATCTTTCTTGGGCGAAACAGAGGATATCTCGATCGGGGGAGAGAACGGGGAAATTCCATATGGCCCAATATATCTGGCAAGTCGCGCTATACGTCAACCCAAGATGCGTCTTCCTCTCCAGGACTTCGAAAAGGTACTTTTGGAACACCAATAGGCATTAAATGAAAGAAAAAAGAACTAAGTACTATATTTCACTTTGATGTGGAAACGTAACAATTTGTTTATTGTAATAATTTTCCTTTATTCATTCTGTCTTCCTTTATGAATTTTTCTAATTTATGGCTAACCCTTACCCAAACTTTATACAACAAACCAATTTAGTTTCATTAGTTTTCTGATAAGAACAAATTCAATTCTTAACATTTTGTATTAGTGTGTGTTTTAGTGGTTGTTTCAATCAAATATCGAAGAGAAAACCACTTGCATGTTTTCACTTTTCCTTCCCTACACTCTATGTCAAATTACTAATCCAATCCCACCAAAGATCGCCTAAATCTTGTACGGATAGGTCTTGCAAGGGTCTGTCATCGGTTGATCCTTCTACTGGCTAATATACATCACCATGAAGAGGAATAACCACATATATTTTATCTTTCACCGTCTGCATGTCCCAACCACACACAGAGGTCGCCCACCCTGTTGTGGCTGAAATAAATGGCCATGTACTTTGAGTGGTGATGGAATGGTTTAGAGGATAGAAAAGGTAGATGATAATTTAGAAAATATAAATGGCAGGAGGAGAGCATAACATTTATGAAACAAAATTATTTTTATTGCTTGGAACACTTGTTTGTTTTCCATGTAGCAGGACTTTCTGAGGCTGGAATAGCTTGGTCTCCATCAGCAACCGCTCAAAGGATTTAGAGTCCATTTCTACCTTATTATTATTATTATTATTTAAAAAAATTATTCTATAATTACAATTTTTTAATATCTGATATTTGAGATATTTGTGCACATTTTTTACATTATAAAAAAATCTTTCTATATTTTACTAGTCCATAGATAATATGTTAAGTTTTCTATTCTAGAATTTTATAGAATTGTGAATCAGTTTTTAACATAAATAAAATAGAAAAAGAAAAGTATCAACCAGTCAATCTCAAATTGGTTATGTTTTAATATGATTCTATTTTATTATGTAAGATGTAAGGAGATGATTGGCTGAACTTTTGAATTTTAGTGTACATGCATGGAAAACACTTTTTAGAAAGGAAAAAAAAAAAAAAAAAAATCTATGTTGGATTATACCGAAGCAAAAGAAACTATGAAATTAGTGGGGATCTACATGCATGTATTTATTGATAATTTTTCTTTTGTGTTGCTTACCTTGTGTTCGTTACCTGATTTTAGAATAGTATTTGTTATATGACTGCCACAATTCTTTTATTTATTTTTTACAGACTTTATGCTCGATTTTAAATGACAAAAAAAGGCACTTTTGAGGACGACAAATATTTGTCTCCAGCCATGTATATCATGCACCATTTGGTTGACGCTTGCATCAATTATAAATTTATAATTATTAGGCTGACCGTGAAATTAACCAGCTTATTTTAATACTGTTAGACTTAGCATTATTCTTCATTAAATGTAGTTACGTCCAAAAAAAAAATAAAAAGAGTTTCTAATCAGCCATGACTATTAAGTGTTAACTAATGTTTCTTCTAATGTTATACTGATGCAGCATAATAAGTTAGGAGTGATGTACATTTTCTCTTGGGGTCATGTTGTCATTTGGTCCTTTGACTTGTCCTGTTCAGGTTTATTAACACTAGTGATCTAGGATTTTACTCGGTATATATTACTTGTTTTTTGAGGTGTCATTTAAATTTAATGGAGAAGTCATGCTTCAACAAAAGCAATTTGTTAAAATTATTTGGGGGTTTTGTTTTTGAGTGCATGGTGTTTTGCTAAGAGATGTGTTAGACTTTGACACTTTCTGTCTACAAAATTTTGTCTGGGCCATTTTTATTGTGTGTTTAAATAGTTGGTAACTTTTTGCACTTTCACTCTAAATGATTCTAGTTTTGTTTATTCTTTGAATTACTATAAAATTTTCTTATTCCAGATCAAGGTGAAAATAGAATAGGAAAGGAACCTCAAGGTTCAGGGGAATCATTAACCTGGGGTGGGGAAGCAATTCGTGTAAAGATATGGCCCGTCATTCTCCGAAGTAAACAAGATAGCCCTACCATGAAGAGAAAAATCCAGGAAACGACCAACAGTCCGCCATTGCATGAAGCTCAAAATGGCCGTGAAAGAGATGGAAAGAATCAACCAAACGGCATAAGTGAGAGCCATGGTGGCACAACATCAAAATTAGGCACTATTTTCGCGGACCAGAGTCTTGTCCCAATTCTCCATGCAATAATCAAGAAGCATGGGGATATTGTCAAAGATTGCAAACTGAAGTCCGGATACATTCGGACTTGTGTCCTGGAGGCAATTTGCAAGGTTGTTCAAGAACTGCGAAGGATGGAGCTGAGTGAACTGGATAGCGCCCACTTGCATGACTATTGTTGTGCTGTGGAAGATGCTCTAACAATGAAGGTGGATGTGAATTGGCTACGCGAGCGACTTGATGAAATCAAACTGGCGGTGCAATCAAATGTGGAGGCTATGAAATTAACAGATATCCAGACAATGCACATGGATTTGAAGGCTAAGCGCGTGGAAGAGATCGAGCTTATGAAAAAACAACTGCAGAATCTTGAATCCGAAATTGATGCAAAGGAATGTCAATTGGCGGTGGAGACACTAGAGGTTGAGAAGCTGAACACTAGCATTAGAAGCTTGTCTTCTGTGTCCCAGCGGTTCGACGGCAAGTCTTTGATGGACGGGCTTCTTTAGATGCACTTGTATGGTGCCCTCTCTTTCCCTCGCATCAGTAGTTTATTTCTGAATAGTTTTCTTCCATGTTTTCAAGACAATCTGTTGATCCACTCACTTATGTACTTAAAAAGTTCTGGCATGGCATCTCTCTCATCTCTTGGAAACAATTAGATTTTCTTTTGTTTTCATGGGATCAGATTTTGAATTGATGCTATCGTGATATCACAGTGTATCGGAGTTGGTCCAACAGAGATTAATGTATGAACCTGATGTCCACTTTGAGAGCAAGCTTTTCATTTCTATTTTTTTTTTTTTTTTTTGATCCTTCTATTTGTTTTCACAGATTTTATGATCAATTTTAAGTGACAAATAAAGGCACATTTGGAGACCAACAAATGTCTCCAACCTTGTGTCATAACATAGTTGCACGGTATGAAAATGACTTAAATCAATTTGACCCAAGTATAATGGTTATACTTTGGGGTTTTCCGATGTTCCATTTGTCTATTTATTTTTATTTTTAAAAATTTCAGATCATCGATATTATGATACATCAACAAATAAGAAAATAAATATATATCTTTTATAAAAAATAAACATCTTGAGACAAGTCAGCTTAAGACGATAAATACCTCATATGAGTGAGCTATAAGAAGATAAATATTTCTAACAAAGTTGGAGGCAAGTGTTATTTATTCTTTGTGGTTATTCTTTGAGGACAATCGTCAACATATTTTTATTTTTTCTTTTTAGTAAGATCTGCTTGCGATGTTCTAAAGAAGACCTATCCTAGCAAAGAAAAATACGCTATCTTTAAAATATTGCATATAATTATTTTGTGTCTTTTTTTGTAAGATTTGTGGATGTGAATTGTTTTATTTATTTTGAATAAAAAAACCATGTGCCTTTTTGTTTTTCGTAATTTCCTGCGAAGTACTCTTACCTAGCATTGATAGTGCTTTTTCCTTTTATTATTTTGGCATAAAATGTGGTTAATTCCGAGACGCCAATTACCCCATAAAGGGTAAATGTAATAGAGAGTGCTACCATATTTATTAGGGTGATCATGAAATTAACCTTTCTTTTTATTTTTTTTCGTTTATTTGTTTAGAAGGTAAGATCATGTTAAACCTGCATTCTTCCTTATTTAAATACAGTTTGTTTCATCAACGAATTACCCGCATCATTAATAAAATCTACATAGTTTGCTCAAACATTTAACGGATTCACATAAGTAATTGTGTCCATAAGTCATACGATTAATAGTTAAATATTTCGATCCAATGAAATACTTCGATAGACATTGGAGACTTGTAGGGAGAGATTATTTTGATACAGATTAATCACATCTTAATTAATATTATTTTATAATTATTTAAAATATATATTTTTTTTAATCATTAAATTAAATTATTTTTCTGTGATGTTACGTGATAGCACCATCCAGTCTCTCACTTAGCATATATAAGAAGATGGTCCAAAACGAAGAGAGGTAGAACCAATACAACAAAATACGCAGGAAAACACCTCACATCCAAGATCTTTTCGTACGCTTAAGACCTTCACTAAGAGAGTCAATAGTATATTTGTACAGTATCATATTTTTTCTCCATCTGCTTTCATCTCTCACATTTTACCTTAGATCATACTATATTTTATCTGACGCCTCAGTATTTATATTTTATTATTATTTCGAACTCCAGACCCACATTTTGGCGACTCTGCCGTATCCTCGTGTAAATAACTACATCATGGGAGAAGTCCACTAAGGATGCGAAAGAATGGAAGAAAACTCTTGGATCTACTGCTTCACATAGGTGATTTTGCTCCAACCCACGCCCCATCATTCATTTACTTTCTTTATACTAAATTTTTTTTTTTTTTTTAGCCTGACAATAAGAAACAGCTATACGACAGGAAACAAAGACAAGTCAGAAAAAGACAAACAAATCATGAAGCAAAAAAAAAAATTGAAGAACAGGCTCCATATTGTTTAGAAAGAGTCACCGCTCAACAACGGAAACACATTCTTTATACTGATGCATTATCAATTTGCATAAAAGTTTGATTGTCTTTGAAATATCATGCTATCATCTACTTTAAGTCCTACATTTTACATCATTATTTTGGACATTGTTGATACTGCAGTAGTCTAGGAACTTATGTTATATGGACTCGGGTTTAAATATAAGACATGGGTATATATCCATAGCGTTAGACGTGTTCCAATTAAAAGGACATACAAACATCATTAAATATTCATTTTATTAATTATTTTATTTTATTTTGTAAAGTAAAATAATGTTTTATCTAATATAATGTTCAATATAGACATTTAACTTATTTTAAAGTAATAATATAATATAATTGAATAATTAGATATGCTTTTTAAGTATATGTCCAATAAAAAATATCGAACACATATTCCATACATATGTCCGAGAAATACATATCCGACATGAATACTTCACTATTTTTTAAAAGTCCACGTAACAAGCTATCAACATGCTTAGTATATGTTTTTACTCCTATTTTGCCTCTGGTGCACTTTTCCTGTTTATCTTCTCCCTCTTGGTGAATCTTCATTTATCTCATCCCTTATACTTGCAAAATTGATATAATATGAAAATAATATTTATTTTTCAAAGATAATTTCACTCAAACCATTTTGTTTTTTGTTTTTTTGCTTTTGCTAAAAGGAGCTTCATCTCTTTTATTTTATTAACACCTTGTCTCACCAATTCCCCCTTTTTTTTTTTTTTTCTTTCCTTTTCCGGATGTTATTCAAAGCTCTACAAAAAATTAAGAGTAGTGATACTCATACCGAATACTTGTAGTAAATTGTTTAACTGAATAATTTTTAATTGGTTATTTATACTAAATACAACTAAGTGGATGACTCCACTTTCTTATTTATTGTATAATTGCCCAATTAAAATAATAGGTCTGGCAATTCACTGCAACTATTCGGTGCAAGAATTATTTCCCAAAAATTAATATTGGCTACCTATGATTTTGTTTGTGTTAGAAAAAGAATGCTAATATCCATACTTTCTTTTCTTTTTCTTTTTCTTTTTTTCTTTTTTTGTTTTTTTTTTTCTTTTAATCATGGTTTCTCAGTCGCAGTGTCGGTCATAATCGCAGTGTAATGAACTCAAACGAATGTAGGTGTAAACCAATTGTGATCTTGTAAAGGACTTAGATGAATATCGGTGTAAACCGGTTGTGGTCGCAGTGTAACGAACTCAGATGAATATTAATGTAAATCGATCGTACCAATCAATTCGTGAAAGTGTTTAATGATATTAAAAAAAATTACGAATCAAACGAAATAATATACTTTTAACAAACTACTCTTTATTTATATAATACTCCCTTTATTCCCCAAAAGAGATATTCTGTAATGACCTAGTCATTTTCTTCCCTTTCCTTTTTCCTGAAATTTTACGGATGAATTTTTTCCGTTTCATTTTCTTTCTGAGGTTCTGTTTCTCGTCAATTAGTATCATCTCGAGTGCTCAAAAATGGCTTCTGAGACTCTTTCGTGTGGATTGACAATTTCCTTTAAGGACCGAGTCATTTTCACATTTTCACTTTTTGAACACTGTGCACTTTTTCGTCCTTTTCCCTATTTCGTCTTATCTCCGTTGTCACTTTTTGGCACAACCTTACTTTTCATGCTCGGAGTTAGTTTTTGAATTCACGTGTCTTCATCTTGAGTGATTTCCACGAAATACGTATCTTTACTTTTGTAAGAAAGTACTTTGGTTGCTCCCGGTGTCCATAGGGGCATGGGTGCACAGTTCTTTGGAATCTCTTTCTTTTCTTGGGGTATTTTTCGTAAATATATTTTGAAGATATTTATTTCAGGGGTTTCTAAGAAAATATCTTTTGGAAGATATTTTCATTCTGGGGCAGTTTTGCAGTTAACCTTCTTTGTAGGGGCCATTGTGCAATTAACGAAAGTTATTGCAAAATACCTCGTCTGGAGCCTGGATCCTCGTACTCATTTTCACATTTCGTTGAGTCGTGTGCTCATAGGATTTTGTTCTGGTCGTTTTTCTCCAGTTTCAGGGTTTCTGGATCCCGGTTGCCGCTGAACTTGTTTAGGGCATATCTCTCTGGTCGGGACTCGGTTTTTTATGTCGTTTCTTCCGCTGTTCATATTTTCTCATTTTGAACCTTTTTTGTTCACGAAATTTTTCCGTTTGAGCGCGTCTACTCAAAATTCACTTTTCTAGACCCTGCGGGACCCCTTCGGGGCACTTTTTGAGATTTTCTATAAATAGGGGGTCTTAAGTCAAAAAGTCAGATCTCTCTCTCTCCCCTCTCTTCTGGCCGGAATCCATGGTAGCCATGGCTGCCACCTTCTCTCTCCTCCTTTGAACCACTTTTCCTTGGCGAAAAGTCTTCGGCCTTAACATTTAATGCTTCCTTTGGCGATGCGCATTTTTCACTCTTATTAGAACCCATTTCTGACCATTTTTCGAGTTTGGGTTTGAGGTCAAGTTGTAATTTTCATGGGGCTTCCTTGGGATTCTTGTTCACCATGTTGTCCCCGACAAAACCCTTCGGTATCGTCGAATTTGGAGCCGTTTCATTTTGGTAGCTTTTGAGATTTTCATCTTAAATTGAGGTAGGGGGTGTTATAATTTACTTTTCTTGTTATATTGCATGCTATGGATGCTTATGCAACTCGATTACATGCTTTGATATCAAATCTAGAGATTTTATTATTTAATTATCTTGTATAAGATTTGATTTTCCCGATTGTTCATAGCCTTGTTTAAATATGTAGCATGATATTAAATTACCCCTTGACATGATTATTAACATATATTAAATATAGATCATTTGGACAAGTAACGAAGATTTTATTTAATATTTATCTTGGGTAAATATTTAATTCACGTGGCCTAAACTAGTTTGAAATCAATGTGTATTAGCATATTATATTAGGCCCTAGCATGCTCTTCAACATAGGTGAAATTGAGAGTAATCAGAGATATTTTAAAATCTAGATAACATTTAATTATTTGATTAATTAATTTATTCCGAGTGTACTATTCACTCCATTGGAATTCCGACTTGACATTCTTGATGTGCATGCCATATAGTTGCATATATATTAAATCTAGAATATTTGGTTAGGTTTTGAAACATTTCATTTATTATTTTTCTAGTATTAAGGTTTAATACTCATGATCATACCTTGCATGGAATGTACTTGTATCGTGTTCTTAAATCAAGTCTTGGCATGTTGTATAACATACATTAAATTGAGATCATTTGGACAAATTTCAAAATC